GGAAAATATCATCAGGCAGTAATCATTGTTAAATTCATAATTATTCTCTGAGAGAGACCAACTCTTATCTGCCCCTGGGAGCCCCGTAATGCATAGCGTCATTTCAACATGGCGGTGTCCGTGACACGGTTTATATGCAGGTAGCGGCGCTGCGGCTGCTTTATATAGCGACTCGTTGCATTCTCCCTCAACCCAAATCCTCGGATCACGCATATTAGCTAAAACGCTAACGTTAACTTGCCTTGCGTTGACTGTAGAGTTGTGGGTGATGGTCATGCAGATGTGTCATGAGATTTGAAGCGTTGCTGCCTTTCACAGACACTTTTTCTGCACGTGCTGCAAACAGGATAGCCGTCCGTTTTTATAAACTCCCTCGGCATTCTTCAAATATCCAAAAGATGCCCGTACTTCCGACTTTGTCTTCTTTGAGGGATAAAAAATGTCCTCCTGAGCGCTGCCATCTCCTCTTTTGGCCATTATTTCAGCTTTAGCTTCAAGAAAGTTTTGGTTGTAAACAACAAAGCGCGCATGTGCCGCCGGCAACTTCAGCAGATGATACGGTGGCTGGTAAGGGTCACCGCGCCTACACCGCAACCACGGTAATCCACCAAGATAATATAGTTTTTAAAAAAAAACAAGACGGTTATTATTATTGTCAACTTTTTTTTTTTTACCGGGGTTTACCGCTACACTGGTTACCGTGACAACACTACCTGATCGGTCTGCTTTGATCTATTTTGAAAACTCCGATCAAAACCGATAGGGGCGCTATTGGACGATTACGATCAAATGCCGATCCATCGGTGGATCCCTAATACAAAATACTAGATGTAGTAGTTTTTCTTGTAGGGTGTATTCATTTTAGCTTCAACCAATTTTAGTAAAACTGAAGATTTTGTGATCCAAGTTATATAATTGACCTTAACTTCATATTATGGAGTTAAACAAGTGTTCAATAAAATCCAGCCTTGTGAAAATTCTGGAAATTGTTCTTTGGTTCGTTGATACTGATTAAATTTGTACTTTTTAAAGAGGGTGTACTCATTTATGCTGAGCACTGTATAATATACATGCACACTTTCACTATCGTCCTCTGTGGTGTTCTGCTTTCGTTGTTTCTGTAATTGCTCCTGTAGCAGTCCCAGGATTGAAGGAAGGAAAAAGCGATGAGCGCCTCAGCTGGTGCAGAGGTTTTATTTCTGTTTATCTGAAATTACTTCTGGTGATGAGGTCAACCATCAGACCATGAAAACTATACAAATAGTTAAATGAACAACAATGGTTACAGCAACCCAAAAAACAAACAAACAAACAAAAATTAAACATCTTAATCACAGGAGCAGTAAATCATGTACCTCGCTCTGCTTTCCCAGGGGCTGCAAGTATCTGATCCTATTGGAATGCTGTGTAACGCAATACAGAATCTCTGGGCTGGGCACATAAACCAACCAACATACTTCAGTGCACAGTCAAATAAACTCAATATTAATGTCCAAACATTTCTTAAACATCTACCTCTATTCTGATGGTTTGTTTGAGTCAAAGTTCCATCTCCTAGCTCAGCCAGGGCGTGTTTCCTTGCAGAAAGATTTTCTTTACCAACACAGCTGTGTTTCATATGAACTAATTGGCAACTTCTGGTTTCACATGGGATCAGTCAGCTACTGATTAGACAACAGTGCCCCCGGCTGGAAATTCAACAAACAACTTACAGCTACAGCTCCAGTCCTGCTTTGTCCACCAGGTGTCAGGATAGCCAGTTTCCTCCAAGTCATTTTCTTGTGGCTGCCGTCCTTCCTCTCGTTTCTTCCACCTCATTTAAACATCTACTGACTAAATGTAATAGCATTTCATTAGAACAAGCCCCGCCCACCCCTGCACCCGCTGACCGTCCACCTCTTTACACGAGACAAAACATGGAACTTTTTCATCCTGTTCGCTCATGTACCCACCTGTTTTCAGGAGGTAAAATACAGGGTTGGAGTTGTGTAATGATTGGATTTCTCCTCTGTAATCTGCTTGAATTCTCACCGTCTCACCAACAAGACTAAGTCATGCTACACACACACACAAACACACACTCACACACAGTAGGAGACCGGCGCAGTTTTCCCAAACCTAAATCTGCATGCACACCTGCACAAACAAACACTCACAAATGCATAATCAGGGAAGCACACACTGTTTTCTTCTAACTGTTTTTGTTATGGGAAACATCTTCAACCATTTTTCTGAGGCACTGCATATCTTCGTCCCCCTGTCATCCCACTGTTAATATGATTGCTCCTTTTTATCGTTCCTCATGCCATTTCAGCTTTGCACCTGGCTTTTCCCTTTGAACACTTGTTTTGCGAGTTACTGCAATCGCTTACGAGTGTGTGGGTGCATGTGTGTATCTGCCTCATTTTTTTTTACATCAGTGTCTGTTTGTAATTTTTTTTACTTTTAAAGCACGCTATCCAAATGCAAACTGGTGCCAGGCAAAAAGATCAAAGCAGGGCAGATGCACATACCTGCGACGTGAGTGCGGATTCTTCCCTCGGGGTCAGATGACAGCTGAGCGTTTCTGTCACCTGTTGATTTATTCTGTTGACTTCTCATCCAAGTCTTTGCACACCCCACGTCTCCTTCCCAGCATGGCCGTAATCCTCTATTCCTACCCTGTCCCGTTAATGAGAACAAAGTGCAGATCTTCAGAAAGTGGGGCTGGGAGCAATTATCCTTTAGACCGGGAACTCAGCTGTGCTGCAGGATAAATGTTTTTTCTTTTGTTATCAAATCTCAGTACTGTACAACAAAGTGTCAGGAAATGTTTTTGAAGACACATCGAGTAATGAGTTAAATTCAGTTTATTTATGTAAGGCCAATTCACAACAAGAGTTATCCCATGGCACTTAACAAAGTAAGTATTCAAATTGAATCTATTTATCAGTGAAGTGAGTTTAGTTCAATATGCGAATTGGTTAAAAGTTTCCGATACAAGAAAACCAAGCAGATTGCATCGAGTTACTGACTAGTGTCAATGTCTTTAGAGCAATCCTCATACTAACCCCAAAATTCCACTAGCTCCGCTTCGCTCCGGCACGAACTCTGCAGCAAAAACGGTCCCGTTGTAGTCAATCAGAGCTGTTCCACTACTGCGGCCATGCGGCGCAGTGCGCCGCCCGCCATTTCACCATCCGGCAAAAATAGGATCGATTCTATTTTTGCCGGACGCCGGAGCACCTCCGCAGTCAATGGACAGAAATCACAACCGCCCAACAGGAAAGGGAGCAAGCACACCTGTTATTTCTCAATAAATCAATAAACAAAAAGCGTTTTTTGTTTCATATGCACAGGTTTAACAATTTTTAACAACTATCAATGGCGGTTGAACTTTAAATGCACAAAAGTAAGCCATAAATACAGTTTCCACTATCAAAGTAGTCACACTTTGTTGATCCAAACACTGCTGATCTCTCAACACAAATGATGGGCAGATTAAACAGTTCATTTCGATGCTTCTCCCACACAACGGGTGTTTGGATCTAACTTCCACATTTATTGCTCGGACTGTATCGCAAGATCTCGAAAATCCCGCGCATGCCTGTTTGCGCACCTCAGGTCTCCGCACCGGAGCGGAGACGTTGTAGAGCGGGTATAGTATAATTTGAGTTCGGAAGCGAGCAGCAGTGGAAAGCGGGGGCGGAGCGGAGTGGAGATAGTGGAAAGCATGCAGCGACAGAGGAGAGGAAAACTCCCTTTTAACAGGAAGAAAGCTCCAGAGGATCCTGGCTCAGTATAAGCACCCATCCGATACGACTTGTTGGGGATTGAGAAGACAGAGCAGACACACACAAAAAACTGACTGCTTCTAATAAAAAAAAAAAAACATGAACGTAACTTGAATAGTATTGAATCCGGTGTTTTGATTTGTCATTAAATCAACATGCATAGATGACCAGAAATTAAATCCTCACTAGTCATCATCACACTAGTGAAATCTCCACATTTGACCCATCTCCGTGGGGAGCGGTGAGCTGCAGTGGTGGCTGCGCTTGGGAGCTATTTGGTGGTGTAAACCCCCAATCCCACTCCTTAATGCTGAGTGTCAAGCAGGGAGGCATTGGGTCCCATTTTAAAAGTCTTTGGTATGACCCAACTGGGATTTGAACCCCGATGTCCCAGGCTACACGTGAACATTCATACTACTAGGCCACTGAGCTGGTAATTAAGTGGGATTTGAACCCAGATCTGCTAAATGAGATTCCACCAACTTTGCCAGTGGACTAACAGCCAGACCAAATGGTTTACCTGATAACAATACTAAGATTTTGATGCCGACAACTTTTCCAAAGTGTGTCTGCACAAGGTCTTGTTGTGTTCACCAGCTTAACGTTGTTTTTCTGATCTTGTGAGTAAAACACACATCTGTGATTCTGGTTTTGGTTGCATTCCATTGTGTGTTTTAAAAGAAAAAAATGCTTTTGGATTTGAGAGATTGACAGGATTTCTGTGACTTCGCTGCTGTGTCTCTAGTCCATGCTGCTGTCCAGGTGGACACAAAGATGTTTCTATTCTGTGATGAAACAAGCGTTTGACATAATTCTGGTTCGCTTTAATTGCATATATTGCTGCCTTCTGGAAGACGGTACAGGTCCCTACCGACCAGATCAGTTAGTTTCAGGAACAGTTTCTTCCCGACAGCTGTTCGGTCACTAAATCAAGTCTTTACCTGAAATGTCTATGTGTTCCTGCCATTGAATGTGGACTGTTGTGTGAAGACACAGATATGTGAGCTGTGAGCATGCCATGCTGCACTGAAAACAAATTCCACCAACTTGTTGTGTGGTCATTTATAAATTAATCTGAATATGAATATGAAAAAACAACCTCAGGCTCAATTAACAATTTATGTAATTGATTCATTTATTAATGTGTAAACATTTGGGTATTTCTAACTGTACATTGAGCTGGTTTTAGCTTTGAGATTTTTCACTTGAGATGTTTTGTTTCCTCAGAGCTCAGATTCTTATAAAAAACCCAACAAGACGCCCGTCAAGCAAAACGGTCCTGCAGGAAAACCATCCGGATCAGCAACTAAACCTCAGGCTAAGGTACGGAATAGCTACGTTGCCAACTTTTCTTTTAAAATATTGATTGGCAGCTGTTATAAAGTAACACTGGAATTAGTTGTGTTGTATTTAAATATTTATCAATTTTAAGAAAATAAAAATTGAGACAGGATCTGCTTTCTAGGCTTGTTAGAGTTCAGTTGAATTTAGTTTTAAAACTTGGAAAAACATTAGGAAATTTTCAATATAAAAGCCATGTGCAGCTTTCCAGTTGCTTAATTAGTAGGGGGGTGAATTAAAAAAAAGTGTAGACTCGAATGTGTGTGTAAATGCGAGTGTGTATATATGTGTAACATGATAAAATAGCCTGTATTTGATATAGCACCTTCTAGAGTCCCCAGGGAGCTTTATAACATAATCAGTCATTCACCCATTCACACACACATTCTGGTAGTGATGAGCTACATTGTAGCCACAGCTGCACAGGGGCACACTGGCTTTTGTACACAGACGCCACCGATCCCTCTGACTACATCCAGCAGACAAAGTGGGTTAAGTGTTTTGCCCAAGGACACAACAACAGCGACAGACTGAGCAGGGCCCAAACCTACAACCTTCCGATTACGGGGATAGCACTTAACTCCTGTGCCATCGTCTCCCAAACATCTTAGACTAATAAATAGGGTTAGCCATCGAGCATTGAAGAAGAAGAAGAAAATATAATTTCTATAGCGCCTCTCAAGATAAAAATCACGAGGCGCTTGATTGAATGGAACTGGGAATAATTGTCAGCTTTTCCTGGAATTGTTCAAATGTTTTCATTTGAATTCCTAGTTTTGATTCCCAGTCCACTAAGCGGAAGAAGATTCCGCTATTTTTCTGCTTGAAAAAAGCATGATCTTGAAATTCTAAATCAACGCCTTTCAGAGCCGATCATTACCACCTGTCTGTCGCTCCTACTGTGCAGCAGCAGAGACTCTGAATGCAGCATCACATCTTCCCCCCCGTCTTCATTCACACCCGGCACACAGTGGCAAAAATGTAAACAAACGTGTATGCAGACTCTGTGAGAGTGTTGAAGTATGTAAAGTTTGCATCCTGCAACAAAAAATACAATGCGGAGGAAGCTCGTTAAAATGAGTCAATCAACACAGTGGATTTATTGCAAGTTTTAAAGAACAAACTGAGCGGTTAGAGAAAGGTTTTTAAATGTTGGTTTCTCTTTTGACTTAATTGTTGCTGCAGAATGTTGGTGTAGATTCTCAGTCATGCTGGACATGATCATCCTGAGAGTTTTAGTTGAAAACAGCTGGACTTTTCTGGTCAGTTCCCAGACTTGGGTTGTGGTCAGAAGCAAACACATTGTGGTGCAGGTCCTTTTTTCTTTTTCTCTCTTGAAAACATATTCTTGTCTAAATTAAGGTGATTGTGCTGTTCAGAGGATTAATATTCTTGTTGAAGTTCTGATTGTTTCGTCAAGTAAGATGTATGGTTAGCTGGCTTGTTTAAAACATGGAATGTTTTTGGACCCTGCCTCTTGAAATAATCGGAAATCGGGAATTAAAATGGGAATCGGAATCAAAATGAGGAATTGGAGTCAGAATCATTTAAATTCAAATGATGCCTATTCCTACTAATAAACAGGTAAAATAGCCTCCAGTTGCATGCATTCACATAAACCTGTAACATTTATTATTGAACACAATGATACCAGACTATCTCCAACAGTCTCTGAGCATGCAGGTGGGGTACACCCATTGCCAGTCCCTCGCAGAACATTAAAACATTATAAAACATAATGGAACTTAGTTCTTCACTTATAAAACACACACAGGATAATAAGAATGATGACTGGATTGATTCTGAATCGTTAAGAATCGATTCAGAATCTTTAAAAATAAGACTCTTGATTTGGACGTGAATTGAGTTGTTCTGGCACCTCTATTAACTAGTAAAAAAAAGTACGTCATTACCTGTGAAACCTTTGTAGCCGAGGTAAACAGCAGAAAAACCACAGACCTTTTTGGATACATGCCTCTGTCTTTCTCCTCGCTTGTTATCGTGTGAACAGCTGAAGTCACACGTGATGTTGTAATTTCTCTGTGATTTTGAGACCTTGCGGGACCAGCTGCGTGAAACGCTTTTTTTGCCATTTCTTTTCTGAAACGCTCCCGGTGGGAATGGTGCTCATGGGTAAAACACATCTATTAGGATATGTGCAACTTACGCATCCAGTGGAAAGCCGCGGTTAGGGTTAAATGAATGGACTTAATGTTTGCGTTATCCTGCAAACATTTACAGGAACAAATGAGTAAGTTACCTTAGCTTCCTTCTCTTGTTCTACTTCTTTCTCCATTTAGCAGATTTAATGACTTCATGTTGCCTGTTATGTGCATTTAAACGTTATTTTAAAATTATTATTTAGGTTAGAATACAGAAGTCTCATTTTCAGGTTCACTCCCGCAAGTTGGCACTTATGCTGTTTGCACTTTTAAAAAAATGCAAAAAATTTGGGGTGGTAGGGGGGGGTGGGGGGACTTGGTATGCCTTTCGAAGCTGAGGAATGTGATAAAAGCACGCAGCAATTAGCTGGGCCTGATAGTTAATTTTTTGGATAGAATGTCTTGGGTAAAACCTAAAAGCTTGACCTCTGTCTCTGTTTCAGCAAACACTCCTGACCTGTTCACATGTTTCCAGGGGCAGGGTTTAAACCTGTGACCCCTCTGATCTGACCCTGCCGTCTTGAGTTGCAGCAACCTTTGATGGCCCCCCGCCCTCGTCTATCTTACAAACATATCAGGGAAAACAAATTAGCAGCTTTTCTGCCTGTTTAAACATTTAAGCACATTACTGAGGAAGATGTGATAGAATAGATAAGGCTTAATGTGCTGGCATGGCGAGGTCACCTGACAAAACACGTCTTGTGCTGCATTGTTTTACATTTTTCCACACTTATAGCATAAGTAATTCGTCATATCTGAGATCCTGACCAAAAGCTTTTGTCCTGTGAAACAATCACTGGCAGGATCACTAAACTCTCAGAGAGCAGAGAAGAAATTCCCTTACGGACAGAGTTCTTGCTGTGTGGTTGAGTGTGTGTCATAGCTCATTGATTCTTGCAACACTCAACGGGCAAAATGTTCCCGCTGGTTTACGTTTCTGGTGCTCTATGCTTTTAGTACTCCTATCCCCTCTCCACTACTTCACAACCGTTCCCTCTCTTCAACCTCTTCACACCCCTCACTTCCTGAACACACCTTCTCCCAATTGCTCTCATTACAAGTGTTTGATGTCTGGTGCAGCTTGCGCTTCCAGATGCCCCTGAGGAGCGAGGAAGCAGGCGTGCATGTCTGTTTTTTCTTTCCTAAATGCAGGTGACTGGTCATTAGATTGGCCTGTCAGATCTGTTGCCAGCACCGCAGTTCTCACCTCTCGCAGCCCAGCGTGTAGCGGCACCTTCTTGTGCAGCGGGCTCAACGTGAGACCCAGCTAAGTCAAGTTGTGCCGATTGAAAGTAACCTAATCTTCCAGCTGGTGTTTTGTGATTAATGGGTTTGGAGACGTTGATGCCTTTAAGCACACATCACGATCGTAAAGCTGTAAACCACGTCACTCAGCCGTATCCCAAAAGGGTGTGAGTCATTGTTTCAGCGACTGATTGGCATGTGTTATAGCAGGTGCATTATTTATTTCTGTTTTCTTTTTTAAACTTGAAAAATATTCAGAGAACACATTCATGTATGGCTCTCAAGCATATAAAGCGGGATTTATACTTCTCTGTCAGCTCCAAAAGGGAGAGACACTACGCACAAGCAAAGACATTTTGCCCTCATACTTCTCCATCTCCTGGGGAGTGTTACAAAGCAATTCCCCACCAGGACAACAGAGGGTGTAGCGCTGTTCTGTGATATCCTGTCATGTATCTTGTCCAAGAAAATGTGTTTATATTGTGTTTTTCTGTATATAAGACTTTTTAACACAGACAAATTTGTTTCTCATTCTCCTCCACCTCTTCCACCGCTTACTTCTCCTCTTATCTCTCTAAGCGCTCCTTTTCTGTGCTGGGGCCTCTGCTCTTCCTCCTCTATCTGCTTCCTCTTTAGCACATCCTGAGTTCCTTCAAAGGAATCCCCTACCATCTTTATGCAGATGACATCCAACTGTGAATCTCCTTTAAGCCCCATGAGATGTCTAAGCTGCAGCGGTTACACACCTGCTTAGACTATCAAAACCTGGATGGCTGGGAGCTTTCTTCAGCTGAATGAAAATAAGACTGAGATCCTCATCTGTGCCCCAGACAAGCTGGTTCAAAAAGTCAGAGACTCTCTTGGTCAGCTTGCTTCTCACACCAAACCTTCCGTCAGGAATCTTGGCGTGACCTTTGACCCAGCTCTCACCCTGGATTCTCATGTCAGTTCTCTTGTTCGCTCTTCCTTCTTCCATCTCAGGAACATTGCTAAGCTGTGTCCCATTCTGTCCCGCTCTGAACTTGAGACAGTTATCCACACCTTCATCTCCTCACGCTTAGACTACTGTAACTCTCTTCTCACATGTCTGAGCAGAACCTAACCATCTACAGGTGGTTCAGAATGCCTGTGCTCAGCTTCTGACCCAAGTCCTCCAAATACACCCACATCACCCCGCTTCTCCTCCAGCTTCACTGGCTGCCAGACAACTTCAGGGTTCATTTCAAGATCCTGGTTCTGGTCTACAGGGCCTTACATGGACAAGCACCATCTTACATTGATGATCTTCTTAGTCCCTGCAGCCCCAGCAGGTCCCTGAGGTCCAGTGATCAAAGCCTACTGGTTGTGCAGCACACCAGGCTAAAGACCAAAGGTGACAGATCATTTGCTGCTGTGGCCCCCAGACTCTGGAACTCTCTCCCCCTGAGCCTGATCAGTGGACTCAGTGGTCTCCTTTAAAAAGCAACTGAAACCTCACTTGTTCAAGCTGGCCTTTGTATGACCTTCTTCACCACTCTCTCTTTATTCTGCTCTCCCCACCAATTCCACCTTCCTCAGGATCCACTGATTTCCCTC